AATTGGAGAGTGGCTTGATCATATTGTGAGGTATCTGCATATGGAAATGTAGATACATTAGTTTCATTGTGTGATACTTGTTTACTGGTGAACAGAATAGTGAAAAAACCTTATAAAAGTTACGTGTGTGTGTGTGTGGGAAAGTGGTTTCTTGAATCAGAATATGTTCATTATGAAATCTGAAAACTCATCAGATTTTTATAAACAAAGAAAAAAGCTGTGCTGAACTTGATCAGAATTCCTGTAGAAATACAGTGGATACTTAGGATTTGTTGTGCGTGCGCGTGTGTGTGTGTGTGTGCGTGCGTGTGGTGGGGGTGGAGGAATTCTTCACAGAAAGAATGTTTAAGCTACATTGGTAACAGAAGATGTATTTACTGCCCTCTATATCTGTTTTTTAAGGTAATGGTTGCTTTCAGTCATCAACATTTTTTGAAAAAAAAAACTCAATTTTTAAAATTTTGAGAACTTGTTTGCACTGAAGTCAATGTAATGAAAGGGAATGCTATGTAATTTGCTGAACTGGTACAGCAGCATAATAGAACTTCTTGGGAAATACCATATTTTTATTTTGCAGTTGAAAGCAGTGATGCTCCAACAGATTTCTTGACATCAGCCGCAAGTAGCACTTATGAGCAGACAGCTGAACAGTCACATGTAAGTATAGCTTAGTACTGTTGAAAGGATATTGCACCACTTGGAGGTCAGTGTTTTGTTATATTGAAGATCAAGTGAGCATTGTTCTACGTTACCTAGAACACTGTCATCTTGTCAAGTTGGCAACATTTTGTTAGCTATTTCTTGTGGCAAGCCAAGTTGAGTGGGTAACTTTGAAGTCATTAAGGATTTTCCTTTGTTCTTGCATCCTAACAACACAAAGTAAAGCTGTCTGACTATAGGCCATTTAGGTGCTTGGGGAAGAGAGGTGGTATAGCTCCTACTTATTCTTAACCTCGGCACTAGGTAGGGGTGAGTGGTCAGTGTCACACTCCAGCTATGCTTTACCCCTGGAAAGGACCCAGGTACCCATTGGACAGGAGGCTGGGTGGGCACCAGAGCTAGTCTGGATGCAGAGGCTAGAGGAAAAATCCTCTGCCCATGTTGGGGCTATCCAGTCTATAGTCAGTCACTATATTTACTAGCTACCTCACCTCCATACATGTAACTGTAGTTTGACAACATAATTTAAAAAAAAATCTTATTTCATTATTATTCTCCCAATCTGTCCACAGTCTTCCAGTGGCTACTGTATAAGAGGTGTCCCCACGACAGTTCTCTATACTTCCTTTATCTTCTTGTATCCTAGCTAAAGCCTAGCACATTGTAACATTTCATTTAACTATCAATATGAGATAGGCTATAAATCACAATTTCTTCATATGTAGTATCCTCAATTCCCGATTTATTGTAATTGATTTTATTTATGAAACTTATTTTATAAATTTCTTCAGAATGCTGGTTGTCCAGCATTTTTTTTATGTGGCACATATGTGAAGATGGCTGTCTTCTGGGTTGTAGCACCATGTAATCTGGTAGGAATTTACTAATATTTTAGGAATCCTTGCTGCCCCCATCATCAGGGCAATTGCCCAGGAGACAGCCATTATTGTGCTCATTGCTATGAGAACCTCAGATTCTACTGTCTTGTCTATTTTTGTGATTCTTTTAGAAAGGTGTTCAAGTTTTTGGTTAATTTGAAATGGAAGTTGCAAAAATGTGACTGTTTGCTACATGATGTCTGTCTTTCTGTCTCTATGTATGTAGCTGGAAAACAAAAGAGATCAGAACTTTCCATGGTGCCCTTTATTATTGAACAACACTGAGACTTCTTGAAGTGTTCAGGTTCAGAATTGCCAAAACTTAGTAGCTTCTGTTGTATGCTGTATGTTTTGGAATGGCTTTCTGGCTTCTGATTGTTTCAGCAGTTGGTTTTATGATGCATGACAGCAAATGGAATGGTTTTTCGGTTGTGGGGTTAGCAAATAGGCCATATGATCATATTAAATTGTTTCATGTAGTTTTTGAAATGTGGGATTTTAAATAGAATTATGTTTTATGAATTGGAGCAGTTTTGATATGAAAACAAACTGTATTTCTGTATTCTAGAACTGCAGAACTTACTTAGCTGTGATTTAGGTATGATATGTTTAATTATAGTCATTGGTTTCAGATTTTATGTTGAGGTTTGTCTGTCTATAATCTTGTGTTACATAAATTTCTGAGATATGGCCTAATTTGCTGGGTGTGTGTGTTGACTGGGGCTGTTGTGTTGCTTGCACAGTTATCTAGGTGGAGTTCTACTAGTTCCCTCTCCAGGGAAGTGCAGAAGTACACCATGAGATGGCAGCAGAATAAAGCTATTCAGGTAAGACCAAGCATGTGCTTTGGGAATGAAGTTTTCTCCATGCTACTAACTGCAGAACCTGATTCTGAATAGTCCAGTGTGAGTTGAAACTGAAATATCTTCTTCATTTTTATTATTAGAGATCTTGATTAATAACATGTATCTTTTGCACTTATGCAGTCAAATGCTTGTAATTATATCAGTGGCCCATTCTACATATCAGTACTGTACATACTGTGATAGTTTTGGAACTCAAAAACTGAAGCTTATCAGATTATAGGCATTCTGTGCCATTTCTGCCATCTCTTAAGCAGGTTTTTTTACAGTACTTTATCTCTTTTTAAATTAGCCAAGCAGGATTATTTTACAGCACTGAAATCAAAATTTGTACTCTAATAACACCTAAAACTAATGCAAGTGTGCCTGTACTTAAAACATTACTTGTATCATGGGGCAGAGACCTCATTGAGAAGATGACAGTAGCTTAGCTAGTCAATAAATTTCCTGCCTTTTATGGAATCAGAAGATTTGTTACTGTGCTTAAAAGAGCACACCATTGGTCCCTAGCCTCATGTTAAAAGCCAACAGATTTTAATTGGAGTACTGACATGCCTCTCATACAAGGTATATCTAGATGTGAGACACTGTTGTACACAGGTTACTTTTTGAATTCTGACATCATAGAGGATGAAAGTGTCTTTTTGAGAATAATTGGAATGATGAGTGACAAGTGTTAAGAATACCTGTAACCCTTGGTATGATAATATTAAAACATTTGTACTGCAACTTTTTCAGACATGGGTAGGGTGACGGTATTTTAAAAATTTCGTGCTCGCTCACTCACTCACATACCTCACAGTACTGTCTTTAATACTTAATAGAGGGCAGGAGGAAATTGCTGGCCATAACAAGTTAGAATACAATTGAATTTCAACTGTTGTTATGTCAAACCACTTAATGCATAAACTTATGCCTCAGCTATTGCAAATTAACTTTCATCATGACTTTATTCATTTTGAAACTAACTAGTCAGTCAAAGCTGAGCTTAGGATGCTGAATGGCATATTGTTATATTAGAACTGTTGCTTGTTTAATTTACAATGAAAATGTGTTAAGTGAAGGAGAGATGGCTTCAACCACAATCACTTGACTTGACTTCACTTCACTTCAGTCTAAACATTTTGGGAGGAGACACAAATTTCTTTGGTCTTGATATTTTCTGTGAAAATGTATGAAATTCATGGGTAGGAATTTCAAGGGCCATAAATTCAGAATATTGAAAGCGTTAATGTGTTGAATTACTAATTTAATATGAAAATGCCATACAAAGTTAATTCAGACTGTTGTGCTGTGTGAAAAGTAATAACACTTTCCAAGCTGTGTTCCGATAAACATCAGACATAAGTTTATTTGCTTCTTACCGTGTTTAAACTCTGCAAATATTCTCATAGCTTGACAACTGACCACCAAGGCACATACCCTTTTGGTGCACCTACCCTGATATACATATATTCACGTCTGTATTTGTTGATTCCTGGTAGTCACTTTCACACGTTCATAGTTCACTGTCCATTCCCTTGAAACTCTTGTTTTAAAATTTGTTTTGAATGTCGGGTTTTTATTTCTTTGTTTGGTGTCTTGTACTTCAGGGCTGTAAAACTAAAATTTTGCCGGGGAAAGAAGAATGGGCACATTGCATCTCTTTCTGCAACATTTCAGCTATATTTATTTATAATCTGGAGCACAGTATTTTCTTCATGAAACATGTTGATACAGCTAGAATGTGTTTGTTGAACAGAAGTGGTGTTAAAAGTCATGACTTCTGTGTTTCAGGGTATTGCAGCGTATCCAGCACCAATGATGTTTGATCCAGCTAGCTTCACTCAAAAGGCAGGTGTAGGCACGATATCAAATTCCCTGAAACGCTACCCCAATTGATACTTAATTGCGTGTTAATAAATAAATTTGCATTATCTATATTAAAATTTGTGGGGGTAGGAATTTTCAGTTTGTTACAAGACAGTGGAATGAGTCAAATATAGTATGTTAACATGTAAGTTTCAGCAGACAATTTTGTTCTTATTCTCAGTGTGAAAATTTGCTGTTATATTAAAAAAAGTGTAAAGTAGGCCTACATTTTTCCATTTAATCGGTTGTTATACCCTATTCTTGTTACATAGCAATTTTACACTTTGTGTGATATCAGCCACAACAAGGGCTCAAAGGAAACAATTGTTTCAGGAACTATCTTTTCTTCCATCATCATGGCTGGGGAGGGAGATGGTTCCAGAAATGTTGGTTTCTTTTAACCATTTGATGAGGTTTTACAGTGTGGATGGGAGAGATTTATCAGTTGCAGACTGTGAATTTTGTATCGTGTGTATTAATACTTTGTAGCTCAACATCATAGACACCAGTTCATGAAAATTATATCTGTACCACAAAGGGTTAAATATCGAAGGAATTCTTCATAATTTATAATAAAATGTTCATTATGTTGTCAAACCATGTTAACAGATTTGTTTTTAATATAATTTACCAGGTTATATAACAGTTTAATTTCCTGAAGTATTTTACTTGTGAAGATACAGTTTTGTGAATCTATAATGATTTTTTATTTCTGATATTGGTGCTGCATTGTTGTTTCTGTAGTATTTATACACTGGATATTGTACTGTAGAGGGTCCTTTTCATATTTCTATGTTGTCCATTTAATATTTCTGTCTTGTTAAACACAGAATTTGCTGAATCAGAGTTTGGTTCTAGTTTTATTTCAAGTAGACTTCATAATTTTCTGACTGAAGTTTGGGATAATGAAAGCTCACAATTACTTGGATGCTTTACTTCTTGGTTCATTTATCAACGTTTTTTTTTGTCATACTTGTATATTGTGATGTATCTGTTCTGTAATAGTCTGAAAATATAGTACATTTACTGTCCATATGGTTTCTGGAAGTAGGTTGGGTCATGTTGGTACAGGAATGTGGGAGTGTGGTATGTTGTGAGAATTCTGCTCTGTTCTGTATATTGTGTAATACATTTCCTCACAACATATATAAACATTGCCCATAACATTATTTGTGCACTTTATCACATCATATGGAGGTGTTGGCCATTTATGAATTATATACAGATATTATTGGGCATACTTTACCATCATTAATAATTTGAGTATGAGATCATAAGATAAACAGTGAGTTTCTAGTGAATAATGCAACTCATCAAGATAGCATACAGGACTTGCCAATTTTGAACAAGTGAATCTTAAGAGATATGAACAGTGAAGAGAGTTTTAAAGGTATTATCAACATTTATGCAATTATATATCTATGTCATGTAGGAAGTGTTGCCATTTTATTTGATTCTGCAATTTATTTTGAAAATTTGGATTGTTGCATATTAGGGTAAGAACAAGAAGAAAACTAACTGTAAGTTAGTGGTAAGGAAATCAAGCTGTGATTAGTGACTGAGAATTTATTGTTGTGTTACTATACCCAGTGGCTCCAGCAGCAGTTGTAGGTGTGCATGTGTGTTGAATCTGTTTTATTGAGTGAATGGCTCCCCATATTCAGCTTCCCTCATCCTTTCTACAATAATATGTAAGATAAGTATATTGCAGTTTCATTCCTTGTAGTTAAAACATAATGCATGTCTGAATCTTTAAAAGTGTATCATTGAAAAATATTTTGGTGAAACAGAGAGGTGCACAGTAAAATTCCAGTAACTATAATTAATTTTATATTATGTAGGTATGCAAATCTCTCAACAGTTCAAGCATTTGGCACTCTTGTGTATTTGACCATAAAACAATGAATGAAGATTTTTTTCCCAATTGTATAACTTTGAGTGACTATAAATATCTAAATTGTGTGTCTCATGAGGTATCGGTGTACATAAAAGTAATTATATTATTAATTTGTGACTATATGGCATATAATGAGTATTATAATGGTAAACCTGGGGAAAAGAATCTATTAAATTGTGTTATTTGTTGGAAAGTGGAGATTGTAGTAGTAATTACATTACCTATTCATACAATCACACGTTTCATAATAAAGTCTGTTTCCTTTGGTAAATTTTTGTCTTGGAACAGTAGTCAAAACATGTAGTATAAATATGTTCTAAATTTTATTTTCGTATAATGGAAAGCACTGATGCATATTCATCAGTTGTTCATACAATTCTTTTGGTCCCAATGAAGTACCATTCACAAGTTCCTTCATTTTTTATTCAGTACAGGTTTGTTGGGGGATTATAATCCTGATTCCAGACTGCTATGGTAATTTGAAGGCAAATGTGACTATCTTACTGGTTTCAAGCATCAGTCTATGTTGCTTGTCTCCAGACCACTGAAAATCATGTTGAGATAAAACAATAGATATCCTCAAATTCAGTTTGAGAGTTCATTTTGCTTGTGCAAACATAACATGGATATACATGAAGTATGTCTCAACCTTGATCAACTTGGTACACCCAAATGTGGAATATGAACTGTGGGTTTTCTTGGCCCTAAGTTGCATTTATGAGCACATAGCGCACATGCCAACCAGTCATATGTGTTATGTGGATTAGTGATTCACAAAGCATAAATATCACATCTGTTGCCAAAATAATGTTTCAGTGTCATGTCATGAACAAAGATTGAGCCTCAAAGAGCTGAGTTCATTGCATTTGAATGAGCAGGTCAAGAAGACATTAATGGGACTGAACCTATAGTTCAGTGTTATTTATAGTTTGTGAGCAGAAAAAAAAAGTTGATGCAATTCCAATAATTAAGTGCTACATGGCAAGGTCCCATGACAACACATGCTAGCGATCATGTTACCTGCTTTCGTGCGTGAATTAAAAGGTGAAGCATCAATCTATAAAGGGGGGGAGATGGACCATGTTTGCCAGACGTAAGTGGGTGGAGCCCGTAGTATCTGCTGTCTTTTGACTGATCATTTGAAGGAGGGGGGGGGGAAATTCAGCCTACGGGTAGAGTTGCTTATACGCAATGTTGGAAGAAAGTTGCGTTTGTTCCTTCCTTGACATACAGATGGCTACGGAAACCACGAAGTATTACATGTTCGTTTAATGTAATCAAGTTTTTATAGCCACTTCGAAGCAAACCGCGAGTCTAATACCGGAATAATCGATTCGTCAAATATCGAATAACTGGCAGTGACATGATGTTCCAGTATTCATTTAGTAGATCATCGTTCTATAGTTTATCTTTTAATTATGTTTGTGCATTTAGTGTATACGTTGCTGGTATGTTTTTCGCCCACATGTGCTGTGGAAATACCGCGCTAAAAATATGAGCATACGGCAGCCACGTGAGTAAATATTCCTTTTACTTTGAAATAGGTTAATTCTCGAGTCTTGGATGAAACGACTGCATTCAGGGCATTTTTGCAGTACCGTGCCCAGTGCTTTGTTAGCTTTCAGATATTTTATTATTTGAAGATGTCCAATTATATGAAATTCTAATTAAGTGGCAGTTGTTTAAATAGCGTGCTGAAATTTTGCAGGGTGTATAGGCTCGATAAAGATTAATGAAAGTGCAGACTGTGTACACTGTACAGTGTGTTGTTTCGTTGTTAATACCCTCACAGAGCTTTTCATTTTGATAGAAAGTACACACAATACAAGCATTAAAATGCTTTGGTTGGAAATTAATGTTGGGTCATAAGCTTCGTTGAAACTGTAAGCATGAATTGATAGGTGTTAGCTGGAGGTTTTCATTCGATTCTCAGACTCATATTAAATCTTACATTCCATCTGCTATGCACTAGCACTGCAGTCACCCAATGACAGTTCTTTACTGTTTTTCACATGTACATTGTACATTGACGCCTCATGTATATTATTAAGCCTTCAACGTTTTAGCTGAACCTTAATGAATTGAAGAACATTGGTGGTCCCAAGATAAATTGTATGGTTTGGTTTGATTTGCTAACAGAAACATTACCTACTGTTATGAAATGGCTGTCTTTTGGGTTGTAGCGCCATGTAATTGGTAGACGTTTACTAACATTTCATTGGTCCTTGCTGCCTCCATCATCAGGCCGATGAGTTATCGCGTAGCTCAACACCTAAACAAAATCCCCTCAGATCTTAAACCTGTTAACTAAGCCAATGTAAAGCAATACAATCATAACTTAAGCTATGTGCACGGAGGATCAGGTCTAGGCCTATGACGAAGCGCAAATGGTGACAATCGAAGGATGAGAATATCCGGTCCTGCGACGCAGATGTAGAGAAAGTTAGAGACCCTTTGTCGAATGCCTTCCAGTGTAACATGGAAAAGCGGATCCATATGGGAATGAATTCGATCCGACAGTAACTGATGCCTGCATCGAATTTAATTCCGACAGTGACCACGTGACAAGGATGAGGGCGTAGGTGTTAATGTAATGACAGAAACGCATACATGTACGACATATAGACACTAAGAAATCTAATCTTGCGTATTAGCTGAACCTACAGTGAGTGAAACTTTTCTGAAGACAATGTTAACGCACTGTAAAGGAATGCGACAGGGACTAATCTAAACCGCCTTTACTGATGTAGACGCCAGGCGACTGGAGAATTGTCAATAGTTTATCTCACTTTACGCACAATCGGATTACAAATTCTTGGCAGCTGACACCTCGCTGGAGAGTCCACAGAGTTATAAATTGAATGCATGAGAGAATCATGTAATTGCGAATGTCGCGACTATCGACAAAGCAAATGGTACCAACGTTTGATTGGACGTGGGTACAGCGGCCTGAAATGTGCGTGTTTGGAGGCAACAGTAAACTGTTTGAAAGCACTGTCCCGAAATGTGCCTGGAGAGACTGTCAAACCACGGTCACATCAGGGTAATCAGTGTCTCGGCTGAGATTCGAACCGGTAATCACCAAGATACATGTCAGAAGTGTTAATGATTGAACTTCTTTGTTATGTGTATCTAACTTCTGAAAAGAACGAATCAAACTGGAAATTTTTAGTTATTCAGGAAGTTAGAACTATATTGAGTATTTTATGTACGAATGTTTTCTTGGTGCCTGGGTTTACCAGCAACGAAAATCAATGTAGGATTAACCGAAATTACCTGTCTTACAATATCAGGAGATCACTGAGGGCCAGAAAATCTCTTTCACCTGTCTTCTCAGAATCCATATCAAAGTCACATCGAATCACTCCATTCTGGATTCATATAACTGAAATGTTAGACTTTATAACACCACCCCTTATGACATCTTTGAGAGAAGATGCTCTTATCAAGCTGATCTGATGTAAAAAAAACATTTACTGTGTTTTTGCTTTATGTTCTGGGCCACTGGCACCATAACAAATTTGTCATTAATATATAATAAAAGTATTTGTTTTAAAGATTGAGTCTCAAATTAATGGATGCTATACTTTCGATGTGAATATCAGGTAAAGAACAAATTTGTGTTATCTTATTGTCCTTTTAAGCATATCCATGGTTCAGGTATTCTACATTATGAGACTTGTGCATGTCTGCATTTCTTATATATAAAATGAATGAGAATAAAAGTTGGACTACAAAGCGCCCGTCTTTTGAATAGGAAAGAAGTTTGTGCTTCGAAGTTGTCTGTCTTATGCCAAGTTTGCTGAGGGAATAATTATTGCAGGTGGGCACTGCTAAAATTCGTTTTGTATTAAGTTTCCTTATCAGCGCAGATCATATTTTGGCATGATTAGAGGAACGTCCCAATGCAAACATTTGGACAAACGTAATATTGGTCTTGTATCAATTAAATGTAATTCTAGAGAACATAACCTCTTAACCTAACATTATGATAGCAACTCAGTCCTGGGGTTCTCAGTCTGCGTCTCGCCGGTATGATTGTACAACCCGCGTACATTTTTGTGATTTTGATCACCCTGCATTACGAGAAAATGTTTACCGTCCAAGTTACAAAAACTAAGCCATGAGTTGTTAAAAGGTTTCGAATGCAGACCAGAAGAACAATTATTTTGGCGAAAATATATATTTTTTTAATTTTCATTCTTTAAAAAATTTGGGGAGGGGAGATGCCTGGTCCCACCTCCCGGCGCCCATGCTAAGTTCAAAGTCAATAGAACGAAAACTATTTGAAGTACTGCACGATGATGTACGTATACATGCCCTGGAAGTGCGGACCGCATTTTGTGTAATGTTCTTGGTTGCAGACATGCGCAATAAGGGAGAGATTTTGCGGGCGGGCTGCGCGAAGGGACATTCGTCGCTGGCAACGCTTGGTGTTCGGATCGTAACACGAGAAATTTAACAGAACATAAGAACTCAGCAATATAATTACTACGTTGCAAAGTTCTGTTCCACACTTACATTCTGTAAAATGTTGTTTATTTTTTATGTTTTAGATGGATATGTTTAGTGTCTACGTAACTGTATCGTACATTTACGTGCTGTAGTGTAAACCTATTTACAGATTAACGTACACTGATTTAACGTCTGAGTTTTTGCCAACCGAAATGTAGTTTATACATTCAGAATGTTACTGAGTGTCTGGGCGTAAATAAGTGGTCGGCATCTGGCAACACCACGGTCTCCCCAAGGAGAAAACAGAAAATGCGTCTGTAAGTGAGTACATTAAGGCTTTGTATATTTTAGTGTCTGGTACTGATGACCTACATAGGTATCTGTTATACAGTTATAATTTAATGAGAACGATTAAGCATCAATATTGGGAATGTAAACAGTTTGTCACGTATTGTTTGAACTTAGTTCTATGTGTGTGCTTATACATATATATGCGCTTACTTATTAAGTCAAGTTAGTGTTTAATAATTATTCTCTCGAAAAAGAAAATGCATAAGACGTTAGTCTTATCAAAGGATAGATGAAACCTTTGACCGAAATATTTACCGAAGTACGTCAAAGAATACTTATGCTTCGGTATAAAGTGCATATTTTTCATTGCAAGTACATCATTTAGTCGACTTTCAGTCAAAATCCAATCATACAAATAGTCGTTACTAGAGCGATCGAACATTACACTCGGC